GATTAATCGTGCAGCCCTACACACAACCTTAAGTTTTTGTCAAAAAACCATAGGTAATTTGGCCAGGGATTTTTACGTGGGTGGTGGGAGAAAAACACAGACGTTCTGGATTCGGATAGCAATAAAATCACAAACTAACCCCTGTAAATGTTGAAAATAGCTTACATCCCCATGAGAAACAATTACGGTTCGAAACAGGCTAAAGATACAATCCAGTTTTAAGGATACAAACATTGCTTAAGTAAATGGTATCAATTATGATATTGTTTTTAACTTTTTGCCCTACTGTCTGGCCTGTTGCAAGTTAATGGTATCCATCTGTATTCTATGCTTTAATTCAAAATTTTCATTCATTGTTTGTTGGCTGCGTTTTGTCTGCCCTAAAGCTGCTTCTGGAGATGTTCAGGCCTATCAAATTCGTACTGCCCAAACCAGCACTATTGCTCCAGGTGTGGTCATGGCATCCTCTCCGGCCCTGCCAAGTCAAGGAGGTGCTGAAGAGGTCACGCGCAAGAGGGAGGTCCGCCTCATGAAGAACAGGTAAAAACCAAATCAAGTTTTTGGTAAAAGCAAACAACGTAAAGTCAGCCTTATCACTTATGGTCATACATTCTGAGCCTGTTAATACTCTCACATATGTACATTACCGTTTGGGGTTGTTAAGATTTGTTAAATTTTTTTAATGAAGTGTCTTATGCACACCAAGGTTGCATTTATTTGAAAAAAAAAAAAAAAACATGAATATTGTGAAATATTGTTAAAATTTAAAATAACTTTTTGATTTTATTACTTTTTTTAAGATTTATTTTTGGCATTTTAGCCTTTTATTAGGATACGACAGTATTGTAGACAGGAAGCGAAGTGGGTGAGAGAGAGGGGGGGACAGGATCGGAAAAGGTCCACAAGCTGGGACTAGATGGATTTTTATCCATTTTTATCAGTGTTGAAAACGGTTGTGCTGCTTAATATTTTTTGTAGAAACAGTGCTTTTTTTTCCAGTTCACTTCCAGAATAAAAATTTCCTGATAATTCACTCACCCCCCATGTCATCCGAGATGTTCATGTCTTTCTGTCTTCAGTCGCAAAGAAATTCGGAAAAGGTCCACAAGCTGGGACTAGAACTCTGGATTTTTATCCATTTTTATCAGTGTTGAAAACGGTTGTGCTGCTTAATATTTTTTGTAGAAACAGTGCTTTTTTTTCCAGTTCACTTCCAGAATAAAAATTTCCTGATAATTCACTCACCCCCCATGTCATCCGAGATGTTCATGTCTTTCTGTCTTCAGTCGCAAAGAAATTAAGGGGTCTTATCTAGCCAAACCATCCGTTGCATTTTCTAACAAAAAAAACAACAAAAACATTTATATACTTTTTAATCACAAATGCTCATCTTGCACTAGCTCGACCTCACGCATTACATAATCACGTTGCAAGGTCACACGTGATGTAGGCGGAAGCACCAACCCAGTGTTTGCAAAGCGAACGTGTAAAGAAAGTCAAGCACCCTTTACAAAAAAAGGTAAAACAACAATGTCGGACGATTTTGAAGTTGGAGGAGAAAATGAGATGGAGTTTTTCGCCCTACCCTACCTTTCTGAACCGGAGTACACAGACGAAGAGCTAACCACACTTGACCTTTCCAACGGGATTACGTAATATGTGAAGACGCACATGCGCAAGCAAAGCTAAAGCAAGACGAGCATTTGTGGTTAAAAAGTATATAAATGTTTTTTTTTTTTTTAGAAAATGCAACTGATGGTTTGGCTAGATAAGACCCTTATTCCTCTGCTGGGATCGTGTAGAGTCCTTTCAAGCTGCACTGAAACTGCAATTTGGACCTTCATCCCGTTGGTTCCCACTGAAGTCCATTATATGGAGAAAAATCCTGGAATGTTTTGCTCAAAAACCTTAATTTCTTTGTGACAAAAGACAAAGACATGAACATCTTGGATGACATGGGGGTGAGAAAATCATCAGGAACTTTTTATTCTGGAAGTGAACTAATCCTTTAAAAGCAGTACAGATTACTGACTAATTTCAATACTCGAGAGCTGTTTGACAGATGTATGTGAGACAATGTAAATATAGCCAGTCTCATGTGAACAGGGGGACAAAACAATGACAAAAAAAATCTGATTGTCAAAATACTGAATCTGTGCATTAGACTTTGTCTAAATATTTGATATTCATCAAATAATATAATAAACATAAAACATGGACAAAAAATGAGACGATACCTGAAGGATACATGTAATTATAATTGTTTAGTGTAAATTAGTTTAATATATATATATATAACAACATTTATCTTGAAACAAAAGGCATGTGGAGTATAATATCTTTAAATAAAGAGATGTTCAATAGTGCATTTTTGCTGTAACAGAGAATCGTGAAATTTCACTGGTTTTTGACAGCCCTACTTTGGACCAAAAAGAGTTTGCTAAGTAGATCTCAAATTTCTTTCCCCCACCAGAGAGGCTGCTCGTGAGTGCCGTCGAAAGAAAAAGGAATATGTCAAGTGTCTGGAGAACCGTGTGGCCGTTTTGGAGAACCAGAACAAAACTCTCATCGAGGAACTCAAAGCACTCAAAGACCTGTACTGTCACAAATCAGAGTGAGGTACCACCCGTTCTCCCTTCATTCTGGCAGACTTACGAGACTAAAGGGCGAGTCACGGACGCATGTTTTCGAAATGTTTTCTTTTTTTAAATTGCTGCAGACTGCCTGTATGAACACACAAGTACGTGAGGGAACTGAACAGAAGCCCCCTGGTCAACACAGATCTCCTCTAGAAATATTGGATCATGTCATTTAAAGACAAAAAAAAATGAGAAATTTACTGTGGACATAAACACTCAAGTACATTCTCGGGCATCTTTACTTCTGGACTCAAACCGAAACTCAGAGGAGGGGTTTGTGGGAAAATGTTTACCTTTTTTCCAGTGTGCTGGTGTATAATTCGTCCATAACTTTTAAAAGAGATACAAATAATGTACAATAATAATAATAATTTAACTGACATTTCAATAGCATGGTAGGCATCGAGAAAGATTTTGTTTTGGAGTTGGCATCATTCCCTCTTGAGATTCTAAAGGTTTAACGTGTCTGACTGTTACTTTTATTTGGTGTATAGTGCTCTTGTGTTTTAAGTTGACATTTTTACCTTTAAATATGAACAAACTATATAAAATGATGAATATTGATAAACAGAAATATTGTGTATCATATACAGAACAAGATTATAGCCCATGTATATTTCGATTTTGACATTTTGCTCATTTTAGATGGCAAAAATGTACCTAAATCATTTAATTTCATTAAAAACTGCCATTGCAGTAGCAACAGTTGCACATGCACAATATAAAATGGTTATAATATTGCAAACATTTGGTCACTTATACACCAAAATTCACATTACAATGTCAGGAATTACCCACAGAAGTGAATTTGATATATATTTTTCAGGTTGAAACATTTCTTCACTTTTATGTTGATTATATTCAGCAAATCACTTGTGTGTTATGCTTGTATATCATAGAGCTATAATTGGATGAAATACAATCCAATACATTCAGTCTCTGGCATTATAAACTAAAGCATGTTTTATAAATATAACATTAGCTTTGATATCGTTATATGGTCAGTTTTTCATTTCAACACTAACAACTGGGACGCAGTGTCTTTGTATTTGATAATGTGATGATAACATAAGTAAAGAGTACATGTTATCTATTATAGCATATGCATTTTTGGCAGCTATTTCATATATATATATATAAAGATTTCTCTTGGTTTCATTTTTCCTTTGTCCACATTCAGTTGCTTCTGAAAGATCAAGAAACAACTGAACAGCTGGTAACTTGTTACGGTTTGCCTTCAACAAAAGTTGTATTTTTCTTTATTCATTTTCCTGAACTGGTAGTAACTTTTTTCCTCTTGTATGTACCCCATATGCAGTGAGATTGACCTACTACCATGCTGGCCAAAGTGAACTGAAATATTCTACTATGTGTGTTTGTCTCCATGCATACAAAAAACCCAATCAATCTAAAGCAATGTTTGATCCCACTCATTTTGGACAAACACATCATGCACTTTTTGTATGATAGCTTTCACCTTTTGGACACTATGTACAGCACTGGTAGGATTTTATAGTGTTTCAAAAGTTTAGAAGTGTATTGTATATACTCTGTGACTTGGCTTACATTTTTAGAAGCTTTGCACTATTACTATTACAATACAATTGTGTATACTTTATGTTGTTTCCCCCACCTCTCTTTTGTACACAAATGTAAATCTTTAATAAAATACTAATACTGCACACTGGGTGTTGTGGTTGGAAATACCGTGCAATGCAATGCACAACTTCAGCATGCTCAAATAAAAAAATGATTTTTCAAAGCTGTAAATAAAACAAAGGTTATTGGAGTATGTTTTACAAGAAAATGCCATTTCAGTCTTTCTACTTTAAAATTGCACGTTTCATTGAATGTTTTACCTGCCATTCCCTTGTAATTATTTGAGAAATTTTTAGTAATTTACTAGCAATTTCTGAATGAAAATTGTTTCAAAGTAAATGCTGTAGGGAGCTGCATGAGACCCCTGAATAAGTCTGAAGCATTATATTAACCCACAATTTTCTGTTTATTTTATATATATATATATATATATATA